ATTTTGTGACAGTGAGAGAAATTATTGATAGAGAATGGAAAATAAAGTTGTTTGGACTAGTGTACACAACTACTTCTGTGCAGTAATCAAGATGAAGGAAAGTCAGCTGGACTAACTTCAAAGTTAAGAGGAAAAGATGGTTGTATGTTGAAGATATAGGAAATATGTTTGGTAAGAGGCGAACAAGGGGGTCAGACTGTGGGGAAGAAGGAAAATTTCGACTTCCACGCGCCATCTGTAACCGGGTTCCCCTAAAAAAAAGTCAAATATCTACAGTAATGAATACAGGATACGTTCACAAAATACCTTACACTGTTAATAACAGAAGTTAAATTCTCAGTAATAAAAACCACCCAATAGAAAGTGTGTATCTTCCTGTGTTCTTAGCTTCTTGCGTCCTTCCTGTAGGAATCAATAAATGCCGTCAACTTACCTATGGAATTACTCATCCATAGGACGACCCAATTCAACCATGAATTACAATTTAAAGCAGTACATTCACTTTGCAGTTTAAATATTTCTGGCTGGAGTACAGCTCGATTCAAATATTCACATAAATACCACTCAAAATTAAGTGACTTCAAGAGCCCACTGAGCTCTCGAGCCGTATTGGGTACAATAAGATTTTAATGAGATACTAGATACTTACAGGCCTGATTAATATCGTAATAACAGACTATCGTCTACTATCCAAATATATTTACACTTATGTCGTAACGTCATTGACAGTTAATATTTAAATTTGATGTACTTTTTATAATCACTTAGGCATTTCTGTTTGTGTGTCTACATCCTGGTTGCAAAGCTTTACATTCACGAGTCAGCAACAGTGTTAACATCTCGTCTCTGTGTATATCTTAAAATACTATTTTTCACTTTTTTCTTTTCTAGGGAACAAATAAATCAAAACTGAAATTAAAAGTTAAAAAGTTAAAAGAAATGCAATTCTTTTTTAATTCGTGTATACCTAACTTAATTTGTAAATAAAATAAATCTGTATAAACAAAATAATACACACTATAATAGATCTGAAAAGAGATCTAAAACGTTTAAAACTCCTCTATTCGATTGCGCAGGCACGTTTTTCGGAAATTCATAAATCCAGCTACAAATTCCACCCAATGTCGTCTTCGTGGAAGCATTTCCCATCACGTGAGATCGTTTGTAATGTGAAAATTTAAATTCAGCGTTTTTTAGGCATATTTCAAATGCTTCATATTTGTTGTCAAAACTAAAAATTGAAATTTTATGCTATAAGTTTTGAAGATTAAACTCTAGCAATGGAGATTCGACAATGACCGGTCAATAGAATAGATAAATTTCATTGATCTCACGAGAACTATAAAAAAAGGCAAACATCGCCCAACGTTTATTTATTTAACTGCTTTATAGAGCCTTACTTAATTTGCGACAAAATGCAAAAATTGCATACGAAAGTTGCACGTTTAAACTTTAAAACGCATTTTGATTTTTGTCGATAGGACACTCTGATGAAAAGATATCGAATTTTTACCGTCGACTTAATACAAATTTTATTTAAAAAATTGATTTGGCTCGCGTAACTTAGATTTAAAATCGCCAGTCGCTTCAAGCGTTGTTTCTGAGAGTTCAGAACGGTTCATTTTACAGAAAAAGTGCTAATAAATATTTTTGGTAAAAATTACCTCATCTATATTTCTCGTTTCAAACATTTTTTTCTACGGCGTACAGATTCTTGATAAATTGATGTTTTCCTCCTGTGGCATTTGGGGAATGGACAAATAGACTGAAAAAAGGAAATTAAAAAAACAAAAAACATAACCTGGGACAACAAGTGTGCAGAAATAAGCTCAATGGTAGGAGGATCTAAGTCCAGACAAGCTTGGAAAACTATCAACAGTCTTAGAAAAAATACAAACAAAACAAAAAAAATAAACCCCATAGACATATAAAGGTGGAAAAATTATTATGAAAATCTATTAAATGAACAACTTACACAGTTTCTAGACACACAGATAGATAGAGTTGAAACGGGGTTAAATGAAGTGGAGATGATTACCGTAGAAGAAATAAAAAACGCATTACAAAAAATGAAAAATAATAAAGCTCCTGGGCCGGGTGATTTACCTATCGAGTTATTCAAACATGCCACTGCAATAACATTAGAATTGCTTTGTAAAATGTTTAACAAGTGTCTACAAGGAGAAAATATCCCAAGAGATTGGAAAGTCTCGTACATAAACTCCATCTACAAAAAGGGAAACAGGAATGAATGCAGTAATTACCGAGGTATCAGCATTACGTCATCCACTGGCAAACTGTATGAAAGAGTTCTGAAAGCGAGAATAGAAAAAGAAGCCACAGAGATCGAAGAACAAAGTGGATTCCGATCAGGGAGATCTTGTGTCGACAATGTATTTACTCTTAAACACCTAACGGAAAAGAGATTAGCAAGAGGACTAGAACTTCATGCCACTTTTATAGATCTCCGTAAAGCGTTTGACTCCGTACCACTGCAGAGACTATGGACAACATTGGAAAACGCTGGTATAAATGCAGTATATATAAATGCCGTGAAAAAGCTATATCAAGATAACCAAGCTTATATTAAGGTTGGAAACCAAATTTCCAAGGGTTTCACCCAAACAAAGGGTGTCAAACAGGGCTCTTGCCTCTCCCCAACCCTATTTAAAATATATCTTGGTAATGCTTTAAAACATTGGATGAGAAAATGCAGCCCAATGGGCATATGGGTAAATGACACTCCTATATACACAATCCTCTTCGCAGACGACCAGGTAGTTCTTGCCGAGGACCTACAAGATATGACGTACATGATAAACAAACTAATAGACGAATTAAAAAAATGGGGATTAGAGGTTAATACCGAAAAGACACAATACATGAATATAGGAGGCATGGGTCAAGACATGGAAACAGAAAGCGGATTAATTAAAAACGTTGATCAGTACGAATATCTCGGAGTTACACTAAGCGAAGACGGGAGAGACGACAAAGATATAACAAGAAAAATAGGAAAAGGAAAAAACATGATAAAAACACTACATCCGATCCTGTGGAATAAAACTTTAACTAAGAAAACAAAGAAAAATATATAGCAGGCTATGATTCAGCCGGTGCTGACGTATGGGTCAGAAGTGTGGGTCTTTAACAATAATATGTCACAAAAACTCCTCTCAACGGAAATGATGTACTGGAGAAGATGTTCCGGGTTAACTTTGTTTGACCACATAAGAAATGAAAACATAAGAGAGAGAATGAAAGTAAAGAACACAATAATGAATACGATAGCCGAAAAACAATTAAAATGGTATGGACACCTGAAACGGATGAACGAAGAAAGGATACCACGAAAGGTTTGGAACCGGAGACCTACACAGAGAAATAAAAGGGGAAGGCCAAGAAAGAAATGGATATCCAATATTCATATAGAAATCGAAAATAGAGGTCTTCAAGAAGGAGACTGGGCCGATAAGAAATTATGGCGATTGGGATGCGAGAAGCGACAAAATTAAAGTTGCAAACACTCGCTATATATATATATATATATATATTATATATATATATATATATATATATATATATATATACAAATAGACTGACTGTTGTAGTATAGGCCCTGTAGGCAGAATAAACTGACACAAAGCACCCTCCCATTGGTCATTTAGATCACGTGGTCGATAAACCTAGCACATTAGAAAAAGGAACGAACATTTATTGCAACAGTTAGTATATTTGTATTATATGTCTAGAGTATGTATATATATATGTATTCAACTAACCTAACCGATAAGTTAGGTTATGTTTATGCCAGTCTGTGCAAGTCAGCGGCGGCTCGTGACCTAAAGAGTGGTGAAGATGAGGAAAGCTTGCCGGAGCCAAAAGAAGTTTTGGTACCTACGTCGAGCCCAAATGTCATGAAAGATTCGTTAAAAAAAATGTATAGAGTTTAGGACTTTAATAATTTAAAAACAGTTTTTCGGGGCACTTATACTAGATACGATTTGTTCTACTTGCCTGGGATATTTTAGTTCTGAACCTTGATATTCCATTGAGGGTTTTTTGGCGATTAAAACACCACGCCTGCTAAAACGGGTTGGTGAGTTTCGATTCAACCGCCCACTCTGGGTCAGATGCTGATTACAGCCAACCACTCTGGATCAGACGCAGCAGTGTTTTGGTCCGCCCCGAGTATTTCATTTCCCCGGTACCACCTATGTCTAGGAGGTATTCCCCTATCTCCCACATGGGGAGGCGCCCGATGGAAGACCAAAAACCTCAGAGAGAAAGAACGAAAGTGACAGATGTCACAGAAAAATTGCACAAGCCAAATGGAGATGGGCTGGACGACGATGGATGGATGACTTGAGAAAAAAAGTTAGAAATTCGATACAGATGGCACAAGATAGAGAACAATGGAACAATAGGGAGGAGACCTATATCCAAAAGTGGATGCAAGAGGTTGCGGAATGATGATGGTGATGATACTAGAACCGAGGGTGAAGAGATACTTAAACAAAAAAAGCAGTATTAGATAGACTAATAGAACTGACTTACCTAGTTTTTATAAATCAAGTTGATCCTTCGGTCTTTTAGGGAGGCAAATATATCAATAATATCCTCGTAGAAAGGATGCTTCTGCATAAGTTCATTCAATTTAATTCAAAAGCCTTTAGCCAGCTGAACTGATTTGCGGTCTGACTCTTCAGAATTCATTATATTATCAAAAACCTCTTAATTTTTCCCAGTCTTCAATAATTACACTAAGTTTGAATTAGACGTCCATCTTGTCTCTGTAATTGTCGGCATACGTCTAGCCGATGTAGATGCAAGATCGTACGATCGTTTTGCTGAACTATGAAAAAACGATGGGATTCCGATAATAGTTGAAAAAAAATCGACATTTTGATATTTTCTTAAAGCTCTGATGCAAAACAAGATTAAGTCGATGGGATAGACAATGCACAAACATTGCTTGTGGTTTGTTGAAGTCCATTTAACTACCTTGACATCACACTGGCTCCATCGTAACATTGTCCTACAAGCTTATGTCGGTATTGAAAAGGCTCTAAAACTTTCGCAGCCATAATGAACAAATGCTCAGCTGTTCTACCGGCACTTACATAGTAAAATCCCATAAACCTTTCAATTACTAGTCCTTGAGAATTTACGCATCCTAATATTATTGAAGACTGCGAAATCTGCGTTATGTCAGTAGTATCATCAATTTGGAGGGAAAATGGACTGTTTTTAATTTTAGTTATAATTTTATCATTTCTGTAACCAGAAATGCATTCAATTAATTCATTTTGAATTGTTTTTTGATTTTCCACTAAAAACATTTTTGATTTTTTCGTAATGATTTTTAGTTTCCATAGGGCTTTGAACAATTAACAGATTTAATAACTCCTTAAAATTACCCCTGTTACTCGAGTTACTTTTCTCAACATGTCACCTAAAAGACAACTCTTGTTTGCTGAGGTATAAAACTGCGTCAATAACTGTCCGCAAACAAATCCTGTTTAAATGAAATGAGGTTGAATGCTCGAATAAATGAACTTTGAAAATAAGGTTATTATCGAGCACAAGTTAATTAAATCTAGCCCAAGTACTTTCGCTTAAAATAGCATCTTCAGGGGCATTTCGTCAAAATGTGAACTATCCGGCAAGCGTAGAATGTGGAAACATTAAAAATAACATAAAATTGAACAAAACACTACACTAAAACGAGGACAAACAGTTTAAAATTACTTAAAGATTCTACAGATACTGTCAGAGAATGTAGCGTAGAATCTTTAAGTAATTTTAAACTGTTTGTCCTCGTTTTAATGTAGTGTTTTGTTCAATTTTATGTTATTTTTAATGTTTCCACATTCTACGCTTGCCGGATAGTTCACATTTTGACGAAATGCCCCTGAAGATGCTATTTTAAGCGAAAGTACTTGGGCTAGATTTAATTAACTTGTGCTCGATAATAACCTTATTTTCAAAGTTCATTTATTCGAGCATTCAACCTCATTTCATTTAAACAGGATTTGTTTGCGGACAGTTATTGACGCAGTTTTATACCTCAGCAAACAAGAGTTGTCTTTTAGGTGACATGTTGAGAAAAGTAACTCGAGTAACAGGGGTAATTTTAAGGAGTTATTAAATCTGTTAATTGTTCAAAGCCCTATGGAAACTAAAAATCATTACGAAAAAATCAAAAATGTTTTTAGTGGAAAATCAAAAAACAATTCAAAATGAATTAATTGAATGCATTTCTGGTTACAGAAATGATAAAATTATAACTAAAATTAAAAACAGTCCATTTTCCCTCCAAATTGATGATACTACTGACATAACGCAGATTTCGCAGTCTTCAATAATATTAGGATGCGTAAATTCTCAAGGACTAGTAATTGAAAGGTTTATGGGATTTTACTATGTAAGTGCCGGTAGAACAGCTGAGCATTTGTTCATTATGGCTGCGAAAGTTTTAGAGCCTTTTCAATACCGACATAAGCTTGTAGGACAATGTTACGATGGAGCCAGTGTGATGTCAAGGTAGTTAAATGGACTTCAACAAACCACAAGCAATGTTTGTGCATTGTCTATCCCATCGACTTAATCTTGTTTTGCATCAGAGCTTTAAGAAAATATCAAAATGTCGATTTTTTTTCAACTATTATCGGAATCCCATCGTTTTTTCATAGTTCAGCAAAACGATCGTACGATCTTGCATCTACATCGGCTAGACGTATGCCGACAATTACAGAGACAAGATGGACGTCTAATTCAAACTTAGTGTAATTATTGAAGACTGGGAAAAATTAAGAGGTTTTTGATAATATAATGAATTCTGAAGAGTCAGACCGCAAATCAGTTCAGCTGGCTAAAGGCTTTTGAATTAAATTGAATGAACTTATGCAGAAGCATCCTTTCTACGAGGATATTATTGATATATTTGCCTCCCTAAAAGACCGAAGGATCAACTTGATTTATAAAAACTAGGTAAGTCAGTTCTATTAGTCTATCTAATACTGCTTTTTTTGTTTAAGTATCTCTTCACCCTCGGTTCTAGTATCATCACCATCATCATTCCGCAACCTCTTGCATCCACTTTTGGATATAGGTCTCCTCCCTATTGTTCCATTGTTCTCTATCTTGTGCCATCTGTATCGAATTTCTAACTTTTTTTCTCAAGTCATCCATCCATCGTCGTCCAGCCCATCTCCATTTGGCTTGTGCAATTTTTCTGTGACATCTGTCACTTTCGTTCTTTCTCTCTGAGGTTTTTGGTCTTCCATCGGGCGCCTCCCCATGTGGGAGATAGGGGAATACCTCCTAGACATAGGTGGTACCGGGGAAATGAAATACTCGGGGCGGACCAAAACACTGCTGCGTCTGATCCAGAGTGGTTGGCTGTAATCAGCATCTGACCCAGAGTGGGCGGTTGAATCGAAACTCACCAACCCGTTTTAGCAGGCGTGGTGTTTTAATCGCCAAAAAACCCTCAATGGAATATCAAGGTTCAGAACTAAAATATCCCAGGCAAGTAGAACAAATCGTATCTAGTATAAGTGCCCCGAAAAACTGTTTTTAAATTATTAAAGTCCTAAACTCTATACATTTTTTTTAACGAATCTTTCATGACATTTGGGCTCGACGTAGGTACCAAAACTTCTTTTGGCTCCGGCAAGCTTTCCTCATCTTCACCACTCTTTAGGTCACGAGCCGCCGCTGACTTGCACAGACTGGCATAAACATAACCTAACTTATCGGTTAGGTTAGTTGAATACATATATATATACATACTCTAGACATATAATACAAATATACTAACTGTTGCAATAAATGTTCGTTCCTTTTTCTAATGTGCTAGGTTTATCGACCACGTGATCTAAATGACCAATGGGAGGGTGCTTTGTGTCAGTTTATTCTGCCTACAGGGCCTATACTACAACAGTCAGTCTATTTGTATATATATATATATATATATATATATATTATATATATATATATATATATATATATATATATATATATAGCGAGTGTTTGCAACTTTAATTTTGTCGCTTCTCGCATCCCAATCGCCATAATTTCTTATCGGCCCAGTCTCCTTCTTGAAGACCTCTATTTTCGATTTCTATATGAATATTGGATATCCATTTCTTTCTTGGCCTTCCCCTTTTATTTCTCTGTGTAGGTCTCCGGTTCCAAACCTTTCGTGGTATCCTTTCTTCGTTCATCCGTTTCAGGTGTCCATACCATTTTAATTGTTTTTCGGCTATCGTATTCATTATTGTGTTCTTTACTTTCATTCTCTCTCTTATGTTTTCATTTCTTATGTGGTCAAACAAAGTTAACCCGGAACATCTTCTCCAGTACATCATTTCCGTTGAGAGGAGTTTTTGTGACATATTATTGTTAAAGACCCACACTTCTGACCCATACGTCAGCACCGGCTGAATCATAGCCTGCTATATATTTTTCTTTGTTTTCTTAGTTAAAGTTTTATTCCACAGGATCGGATGTAGTGTTTTTATCATGTTTTTTCCTTTTCCTATTTTTCTTGTTATATCTTTGTCGTCTCTCCCGTCTTCGCTTAGTGTAACTCCGAGATATTCGTACTGATCAACGTTTTTAATTAATCCGCTTTCTGTTTCCATGTCTTGACCCATGCCTCCTATATTCATGTATTGTGTCTTTTCGGTATTAACCTCTAATCCCCATTTTTTTAATTCGTCTATTAGTTTGTTTATCATGTACGTCATATCTTGTAGGTCCTCGGCAAGAACTACCTGGTCGTCTGCGAAGAGGATTGTGTATATAGGAGTGTCATTTACCCATATGCCCATTGGGCTGCATTTTCTCATCCAATGTTTTAAAGCATTACCAAGATATATTTTAAATAGGGTTGGGGAGAGGCAAGAGCCCTGTTTGACACCCTTTGTTTGGGTGAAACCCTTGGAAATTTGGTTTCCAACCTTAATATAAGCTTGGTTATCTTGATATAGCTTTTTCACGGCATTTATATATACTGCATTTATACCAGCGTTTTCCAATGTTGTCCATAGTCTCTGCAGTGGTACGGAGTCAAACGCTTTACGGAGATCTATAAAAGTGGCATGAAGTTCTAGTCCTCTTGCTAATCTCTTTTCCGTTAGGTGTTTAAGAGTAAATACATTGTCGACACAAGATCTCCCTGATCGGAATCCACTTTGTTCTTCGATCTCTGTGGCTTCTTTTTCTATTCTCGCTTTCAGAACTCTTTCATACAGTTTGCCAGTGGATGACGTAATGCTGATACCTCGGTAATTACTGCATTCATTCCTGTTTCCCTTTTTGTAGATGGAGTTTATGTACGAGACTTTCCAATCTCTTGGGATATTTTCTCCTTGTAGACACTTGTTAAACATTTTACAAAGCAATTCTAATGTTATTGCAGTAGCATGTTTGAATAACTCGATAGGTAAATCACCCGGCCCAGGAGCTTTATTATTTTTCATTTTTTGTAATGCGTTTTTTATTTCTTCTACGGTAATCATCTCCACTTCATTTAACCCCGTTTCAACTCTATCTATCTGTGTGTCTAGAAACTGTGTAAGTTGTTCATTTAATAGATTTTCATAATAATTTTTCCACCTTTATATGTCTATGGGGTTTATTTTTTTTGTTTTGTTTGTATTTTTTCTAAGACTGTTGATAGTTTTCCAAGCTTGTCTGGACTTAGATCCTCCTACCATTGAGCTTATTTCTGCACACTTGTTGTCCCAGGTTATGTTTTTTGTTTTTTTAATTTCCTTTTTTCAGTCTATTTGTCCATTCCCCAAATGCCACAGGGAGGAAAACATCAATTTATCAAGAATCTGTACGCCGTAGAAAAAAATGTTTGAAACGAGAAATATAGATGAGGTAATTTTTACCAAAAATATTTATTAGCACTTTTTCTGTAAAATGAACCGTTCTGAACTCTCAGAAACAACGCTTGAAGCGACTGGCGATTTTAAATCTAAGTTACGCGAGCCAAATCAATTTTTTAAATAAAATTTGTATTAAGTCGACGGTAAAAATTCGATATCTTTTCATCAGAGTGTCCTATGAAGATGCTAAATGCTAAATGCCCCTGAAGATGCTATTTTAAGCGAAAGTACTTGGGCTAGATTTAATTAACTTGTGCTCGATAATAGCCTTATTTTCAAAGTAAATCCTGTTTAGTCGAACATTTTTATTAAAATTTAGTTTATGTAATCTAGCGTTTTCTTTTAAGGCATCGGCAATCGTATTTTGATTTTGTTCGAAATGTCTAAACATTAATTGGTTTTTTTGACAGACTGTTTCTCTGAAAAGAGGAAACATG